GACTTTTCACTGTTTTCCATCGTACCAACATGGTCCATGGCTCAAACGATGCTCTCTGCTCATTGAGTTTCTCATTATTTCTGACGTCATACTGGAAAAGCTTTGAAATTTGAACTGGAAAGATTAGCTCACCATAGATTGCACTGCTGATGTGCAATCAAGCGCTGCGATCTTTTAGTGCATCCTTGGCAAGTTATTGTAATTTTGCTGACCCCAAAATGATGGCAAATTAGCGCGTATGATCTGATCTAGTCCTTTTTTGAATTGGGGTGCCTTCTTTACTTTCATCTTCTAAAGCAGTTTAGCCCACAGAATAAGGAAGAGAACTCAACCGATGTGAAACCCCAGGTATTTTTCCTACCGAGTGACGGCCTCTCGGCCCAGCTGGGAGCCGAGAGACCTCCTCCGACCGTTGCCACACCGCACACTTCTCGCTGTTTTCATCCATGACTTTTGTTTTTTTTTACAGTCCCGCCTCTTCTCTATAACCTCCCCTCTCGACGGTTATTGAGGAGCCCTTTTCCTTCCAAATCTTAATCGGGAGGTTGTTCCCTGGTCACATCTTTCCGCCCGTTTTGAGTTCCTTAGTTGTGGTGAGAGCTACTCTGATATAATGAAACAAAGCGGTCACTCCGTGGGAAGAGCCGCGCATCTGGCTTCCATCCGGAACCGTGAGAAGCGTAGGCGGGGATGCGTGATCAGCCTGTCCTGGCCTAAATCAGAGTTCTTCCAGCGCTTTCAAGTCGAGCCGCACCTCCAACAGTATCACAGCGGGTGCACTGCAGTATTGTACTACTGCAGTACTCGGAACGGTGGCGGTGTCAAGTGGCCCCCGTGAGCCAGGGCCCAACGTTGAGATGGGTTAGCGACCCTTTCTCGCAACTATCCATACCGTCTATTTATTTCAAAACCGTCCAATTTTTACAGGAATTTTACCAGATTGCCCCTCTAAAAAGTTGAAATATAGCGTCTAGCAGGGGAGCTGATGTATAGCGACGCCTGAAACGGGAAACCCAACAGCCCCAAGATTTCTCTCGTGGCATTTTTCTCAAGGCGAAATAGTCCCTTGATTTCTCCCAACGATGCTGCGCGCTATCGAGGCGTAAAACTGATTGGATACCATCCAGCCCAAAGAAACTGTCCATCACTCGTCCGGGGGCAGCGATATTGTGCTACAGTAACCTTGGAGAATAGAACATTATATCATCGATCAGCTGACTCAAACATCATTTCATGAGCCAAGACGCTTTGAAAATGTAACAGATTTTGAATGGAAGTGGACGTGGTTTGGCTATGTGGGGGCATATTGCTGGATCATTGGCGATGCCTCCTGTGGAGACCTGTAAGCTTCTATCAAACAGGCAATATGAGTTTCGTTCCCGCTTGTCGGGAGTTTAGAGGTCTTACAAACGTGTGACGTTTTATTCAACAGGAACTAGCAGAAGAAACTAGCGAAAGTGCACAATGCCCCTTCCAAAACGAACAGCGCCTGGAAGAGAAATGTCTGACATCTTCCAAGAAAGGGACTGATCAACACTGAGTGCTCTGTGGATTTCACGCTCTAGTGGCCTCGTTTCAACAGAAAAACACATCAACACTCAGTTTTTCAACGCTGAAATAGTTGGCGAGTGAGCGTTGCGTGTGCACTCACTGAAGTCCAGCATCTCATCGTTCCATGGCTAGTGTTCTAGTTTTTATGGCCCTTTGCTCCTTTGTTTGACGCGCTTGCATTATTCATCAATTCGGGAAATCCCTTATGGCAGTGAAGTGACAAAAGCACTTTCCGGAGAGTGCTGGCAGTTCGTTTTCTAGCCGCGCTGTCTAGTGCAGTTCGTTTTCTAGCCGCGCTGTCTAGCAACCAATTTCGCCGGCACTAGGCATTCCCTTGCCCCTTTCGAATCTCTTTCTCATCAGCTCATCTTCTATTTCGCTCTTATCGTGTGCAATACCACTGTTTATTCAACCACATAAATTGAAAGCACAGCATTGATTGGTCCTTGTGGTATGCGCCACGCGCTTGAAACCCATTGAAATTCTTAGACTTCTACTTGATGGCGTCCTTGGAAGCACTATAACTCCATAGTGTTCACTCGTTGTTTTGATAAGTCAGACAAGTTTCTTTTCATAACCGATAGAAAAGGGCTTAGAACGGCTCTCGTGTAGAGAAGGCGCACTGTGTTCTTTGAAGTAACTTCTCTTTGGGGGCAATACGTTCAAAGCACGCTGCCGCGTCCTACCGATCCACGGGATGGGTGTAGTATTCACGTACTCACTATCAGTGCGTTACTTCTGCCCAGCACCTCACTTTGGACACACTTTTTGAGAACACGTTGTGAATCGGTCATAATGATCGGAGAAAGGGAGATGCAGGTGATATGGCTCCTATGCAGTCTTGTTTCGCGTTTTATATCATGAAGTGGACGCTGTGGGGCGAGGTTGCCCAAGTAGCTTCATCTCAGCGCGGATCAGCGTTGGTGCCTGTCTTCTCGTTCGTTTCTATGCTCTCTAGCTAGCTGCTCGTGTCTGGTCTGTTGCACGAAGTCATAACGGATCCCGGCCTTTTACTTAAAATCATAGGCAATCCAAAAAGTTATTATTTATGTCTTGTTCACTGCGAATACTGCGGGCGTCTTCAGGAAGTTGATGTCGGGCGCGGCCAACCGTGCTCTGCCATTGCTGAACGACCAAGCTGCCTGGCAACTAGATGAATGGGCTGTCGCCGCGCCAAAAGCAGCCCTCTTGTCACGCCCCAACATCCGCCATGAGGAAAGCTCTAGGACCTTTTCTGCGGTTTTTCCTGCTTTTTCACTCTCGGATACATGTCGTCAAGCAACTAGGCTTTTGCTTTTCAATCGCGCTGTCTAGGACCTTCACCCTTAGATATGGTGGTTGCTGATCTACTACCCAGGGTACAGCATCGTTTGTGGAAGACATAGGGTCTATTAGGTTGTCCGGAAAGTTCTTAGCGTTTTGTGCACCTAATCTTTGTACATTCACTGCTGATTAAAAACTCATTCTGCCTTGCTTCTCAGTAGCACATCCTGTAGAGAATTTCTTGCGCTATCTGATGGTATAATTGCCGTTTCACCATTGCTTGATAAACCCCTTTTTCAAGATTTTTTCAAGCATGTGAAAAGAGCACTTCGGACGATTTTTTTCTTCGGCTATAAATTGGGGCAATCCGCAATCGAAACAGCTCAACAAATTAACCAGGTGTGGGGCCCAATAGTGCTAGAGAAAGCACTGTGCGGCAATGGCTCAACAAATTTCGTTCTGGAGATTTCAGCCTTGAAGGTGAGCCTCATAGCGGTCGACCTAAAGCAATATCTGACGAGGATTTTAGGGGGATTTTGGAGGCTGACCCATCCCAAACAGTTCGAGAGATAGCAGAAGAGCTAGGCCTTGGCAAATCCACTGTTGCAGATGGTCTGGAACGCATTGGGAAGGTGAAAAAACTCGACAATTGGGTGCCCCACAATCGGAGTGACCGGCAGGAATCGGCACGTCTCGAGGTTCCTTCTTCACTGCTTTTGCGCAAAAGAATTGACCCGTTTTTGAACGGATTTGTCACCTGTGATGAAAAATGGATCATGTATGATAACAGGAGACGTTCCGGACAGTGGTTGGATTTGGAGGAACCACCGAGGTAATTTTCAAAGCCGAACCCTCAAAAAAAAAGATTCTGGTCACGGCTTGGTGGTCATCGGCTGGTGTGATCCACTATAACTTTTTATCACCAGGCCAAACCATCACAGCAGAACCCTACTGTGAACAAACCGACCAAATGTACCGAAAATATTGTCAGCTGCAGCCAACACTTATCAAAAGAAAGGGTCCGATTCTTTTGCATGACAACGCCCGCCCACACGTTTCACAAATCACTATCCATAAATTGAACGAATTGGGGGTTGAAGTTCTACCTCACCCACCATATTCTCCAGACCTTTCACCAACCGACTATCACCTTTTCAGACATTTTCAGAACTTCCTTGCTGAAAAATACTTCATCAATTAGGACCAGGCAAAAAAGACCTTCGTAGATTTCGTGGATTCTCGACCACCCAGTTTTTTTTTATGGGATTTCTCGACTGCTGCCACATTGGCAAAAGTGTGCTGATTCGAATGGTGCTTATTTGGATTAAATCCGATGAGTGTTAAGAAAGTTATGATCGTTTAAAGTTAAACACCCAAAACGCTAAGAACTTTCCGGACAACCTAATATTTTCGGCTGGGGAGGGGGTCATATTTGTTTTGTTGTTGGGAGAGGGGGTTGTATGTTGTGGTTTGAGAGAAATCTTGCCGCGTTGGAAACTTGCTGCGTTGGAAAAATTTTTTCTCGGTTGTTGACTTCTCGAGATTTTTCCTGTTTTATGTGAACTATATACTCCTGCGCCCTCCTTACCTCTCAGGGCACAGCATGATTGGGATTCCCTATGGGGGGGGTCGTATGAGACCTCATCTACGTGGGGGGACGTTCCCCTAGAGGGCTCCTATGACACCACCACTTACAGATCGAGGCGCTGTTCCCTGCTTTCACCTATTCAGCATTTTCACCTATTTCAGCTATTTTCAGAGAGATTTTTCCTCTCTTGTCTTACTCCTTCGTATCTCCAAATATTGACGATTGTTTTGCATTGACTCTTCTCAAACAACAATATGTCGCTCTTGGTGATTCTGGACTGGCGCCTTTTGCATTTTTTGCATTGTGAATTCGAACTAACCATAAGTTGCCCATTGATTTTTCGTCGAGAAGCTTCACTCATGTCGACAGCATAATTGTCGCATGGCGCTGTTTACTAATGAAATGTTCCAAATAAATAATATTGAGTTTTTTCAGATGCTAGGCGCCAGTAGTAGTGAGGACGATGACGATGATTTTGTGAACGAGGAACCAGATGTAAGTTGACGTTTTGCCACCTCGTTGCGTATATTTTTGAAATTTCTCGATCGATTTGTTTAGTATAATTTTCTCTATTCCATAATATTCATGTCTCTTCTGAGTTCCTTCTCAAGTTACACTACTCGGTAGCCATCATCAGCTCTGGAACGCCTTCATAATCTCATTCCTGAACTGGTTCTATTTCCCTTTTTCTCCATCATTCTTCAATATCCAGGCCAGGGTCCATAATCTCCGTAGTAAATCAACTAGAATTCTTTTCCGGATCAGTCCATCTTGTGCATGGGTTTTGCATTCGTTTGGGTCAAAGCCGCCTGGTACCACCGCCACCGAAATCGGCGCTTAAGCACCCCAAACACCGGTTACCTGCGGTGTGGGGTCGCATTTGGTCTCTGGAGGGAGGTGTTCGGAATTTTTCCTGAGAGAAAGGTTTTTCTTGTTCTTGTTCCGCTTTTTCTGTTCAGCAGGCGCTACCCTGTCACTCTAAGACGCTTTTTCGGTAAGAGGAATAGAAAAAATACAGGAAAATTCTTCGAAAATTGCAGAAAAGAGGTATGAAGCTGGAAAATCAAGGAACAAGGTTGGAAGGATTAGGCAAGGAGTGCGTGCAGAGGTTGAGGGGCGCGGACCTATGCAGTAAAAATTCTTCCCAAAGGTGGATAATAGTCTGGCTTTAGATCACCCCAATGTTAAATTACCTTTGGAAATGGGTGCAGGAATTAGCGCAACTGCGCTTGGTGGGAGCGCGCCCAAGTTTCGCGCTTGATTTGGACTATATTTCTCTTAGACCTGTTCCAGAAGTAGCGCAGCTTCTAAGATTTGCTGTGATAGCAGGCTGCTCAATTGAATTTTCGTATCCAGTCCAGATCATAATGCGACTAGCAGGCTGCTCAATTGAATTTTCGTATCCAGTCCAGATCGTAATGCGCATGCCAAACCAGTCGAACACCCCCGAAGAAATTTTTCTTTGCCCTCGGGCAGGTTATTTATTCCCTTTCGCTCTAAAAATGTCGGAAAATCAATGCTTCCCAAGGGAGCTATTATGTTGGCGGTTGTGGATAACCCCATTTCCTGAGAATGAAAACATAGGGCACTGAATCAATTCCTTTCAGCTTGTCCGGGTGCATGGCTATTTCCAAAAATATTCCCCTCTGGAAATGTTGCCATTTGTCGTGACTGACAGAGAGGCCAGCTTAAGTTATACTTCTAACCACAGCTATCATTCTTCCGCGACCAGCTCGGCTTTTCAGACGACATCACTCATCTATGGGCAATGCTTGGGAAAGCCCAAGGGAAAGTTTCTTTGAGCACGGGCTATCAAATGCCTCTCTCGCTCTTGAGAGTGAGCAAGAGTCACTAAACTCAACTGATTACTCAGTTCTACCATTGTGCTGATTGTGTGGTAACGGAATTACCGGGAACAATTATCCTGTCCACGATGTTAACGCAGGAAGGGAATGGGAATAGATTTCAGGGGTTTCTTGCCAAATCTTTCATCAAAAGGCTGACGTCAAGGAGACCGACAAGCTTGTGAATTATATGGTTTTCTCGGCTGACTGGCTTTTGAAATATTGCTGAGAAATCTTCAGCTGAGAAATGTTCAAAGAAACGTGGTATTAGCCACTTGTGGAGCCAGAAAACCAGAAGACCATTCTGTATATTAGAAAAATCCCAATCGTGAAAACTGTTTAATGCTGGATACTACAAGGGAGGTCGTTCAGGGCGTGCCCCGCTTTTTCGAAACGGTTTATTGCACTTTGTAGGGCCTTGCCCATGAACCATAAAAGTGGGCTTCGTTTTGGCTGAGCGGCCCCTGGAATGCCAAAAAAGGAGCGAAAAGAAACCTATGGAAACTGATTGTTTTTGAGCCTCTACGAGCTGTAAACCGCTTGAAACTTTGACCAGTTGCTGAATGGAGGGACCCTATAAAGGTACTATCGGAATCGAAGAGAAAAGTAGTCGGGGTATGGGGTCTTACTTGTGGCACGTAATCAAGCGTGAACGGCTTCATGGAATGGTTTCTTCAACGATCGGAGGAACGTTCAGCATCAACGATCGGATGGCCTAGTGGATAGCGTGAAGGATTCTCAAGCGGACAGTTGGGGTGGGTTGATGGTTCAACTCCCTCGGCGTGCGAGTTTTTGCATTTTTTATGTTTTGCTGTTTTCGCGTTCAAATATGTCTGTGCGTAAGTATGCATTCGATAACTGCCATTTATGGGCACATTTTAAATGGGAACACTCCATGAATCAGTGCTATTCAATTATTACAGGTTTTACATACCATTAAGCAAGACCGTAATTGAAAGTTGACCTTTATAGGTCAGACCATGCCCGAATCACGAATATGGAACTTATTTGTAGCTACGGTGCCATTTATCGCTAATATGGAGTGACATGTTTCTCCCAATGAATGCGTTTGCTACACACAAGTAAGGGATGTGTAGCGCTACCCAGGCGCCAAGTTACGTCGGCGCCGAAAATAAGTGTGAAAATCATGATCGGGGCCATCGATTACCCCTGTAAACAATCTTTCGGCCAAAAAAATTTTTTTCGACTTTTTTGGGTGTGTGCGTTGGGTTGTGCCCGACAGTCTTTCTATAGAAGTCTACAGTGCCTCGCCAAAGGGACCCCCTATTTTATTAATATCCAAAGATAAAAGTAACAATGCCGATGAAATTCATGCAAAGAGGAAGGAAAGGGAGGCATTCCACCAGGTTTGCTGTCCTGCCCGGCGGCCTGCTACGTCGTCGTTTCGTCATCGTCTTTACGAAGATGGGATACTTCGGTCACTACTGCCGACCAATGGTCCACCAAAACCCAAGAAATCGAAAAAAAATTTTTGGCTGGAAGTTCCGTCCATAAGGGTAATCGATGGTCCTGATTACGATTTTGACACTTATTTTCGAGGTCGACGCAATTTGGCGCCAGTATAGCGCTTAACGTCCCTCGTATGGGGGTACATAGACGTAACTTTCACTCCTTTTTTGGCATTCCAGGAGCCGCACAGCAAAACGAAGCCCACTTTTACGGTTCATGGGCAAGGTCCTACAAAGTGCAATAAACCGTTTTGAAAAAGCGGGGCACGCCCTGAACGACCTTCCTGGTCAGAGAAACTAAGCAGCTTGTAGAGCTGGCATACTGGCTCAGTACCAGAAGCATCTATCCCTGATCGGCTCCTCTCCCTCCCCCCCCCCCAGGTCAACCAAGCCTTCTTCCTTTCAATAACGGTAAATTGGTGCCATATTTGTCTAGAGAATAAGAAGACTGACTTGATCATGGGCTGGCCCCACAAGTCATGGTATGGGTCACACCGCATTTAGTGAGCCAGTACAGCATGAATGTAAGTAAAATGCTGCGTACCGCATTCGAAGAAGAGATCGATGGCAGCGGGCACTTTTACTTTACTGTTCCGCTCTTCAAAGGTACGGTACGCGATAAGGAGCGTAGGTAATAGCGTTGAAATATGGGAGATAAGTTGCAGATGACTCACCTGTGGAGGGTGATTGCCGAAGGGAACGTCGGCAACGTCGCACCAGCACCAGCAGCTTCCATTTTCTCTGAAGCATCACTTTTGACTGGAAGGCAGACTTTGAAGACGGGATTCGGTGGCGGAGTCACTGGAGAAGGGAGGTGCTCCTGGAGCAACCTTATGCATTGACTCCTTTACCAAACAACTGCAAACCGCGAACCTGGCAGAAAGTTGTCCATTGCGGCCACACTACGCTCCCACGTATTTCTGCATTCTCATCGGTAATCCTGAGCCATCCCCTTTAACGCCTGGGTCTGACGTTCTAGCTATGCCGCCTCGCCGTATTACTAGTTAGTAGCAGTTCTGATCGAATCTTGGAGGTGATGTGCGAGCAGCAGCTACTGTTTTTTGACCGTTTCTTGGCAGTTTGGAAGCCACCCAGACAATCACACGCAGTGTGGCAACAACATACCGCAACATGCCTCAATACCTAGCACGCTCGCTCACGCTTCGAAGGCGGTCTGCGCGGATCGAGCACTAAAAGGTTCGAAATATGAAGGAAATTCGCCATGTTACTCGTGTGTGAGGGAAAATTCCACTGTAGACGTCGGAAAGGCATTTGATAGGACCGTGCCACCCTTAACATCGTACGGACAAAAGTTTAAAATCCGCTTTGGACGAGCCAGTAGATCTGAATCCTTTACATGACCCTCGATACCACAAGAGACAATGAGCATCCATTTTCATGTTAATGTTGGATAGCTTGTTTTTGGCGACCTCGAGAAAGCAAGCGATAACATGCAACTCAATAGCGGGTGAGTCTGGGAGCGGACATCAATGCTCGTAGCACGTAGAAATCCGAGACAGAGCAGTGTCGCTGGCGCACATTACGTTCTCACTGCTTCTTATCCCACAGTTTTTCGAAATGAGCTAAAGTTGTCCACTGCAGACCACGCTACCCTTCCCTCACAATCTTTGCATTTTCGTGAGTCATTGCGGACCGTTCCCTTGAGTTGTTCAGTCCTGAGTACGTGGACGCGTGCGTCTTGAAAATGAGGGCAATGGAAGGGAAAAAGCAGCCAGTTCGATTCAATTCGCTGTCCCCCCATTTCGCTTGATCCGACGGACCTTTTGTCCATGGAGGATATTCGACTCTCCAAAGTGACTATCACGCTCGCCCGACTCCATGCTTCACAAGAGCGATATGCATTATGATACAACTGATCTCTAAACTACAAGTGCGACTTTGGCTACTCGTGTGATCTTCCTGCTTTGACGAAAAGATTCAGTGAGAGTCGTGCTCTTTTGTCGCAGGATTTTCCACATCACCGCATCTGCTGCTCATGAATACACGACGACATTCTGTTAGTGGTGCATGTAATTGCAGACGAAGTCGGTCTCGTTTGCATGTTGTGTGGGAACAACACTGAGCTGTATATAAACTCTTCGCAGCTTCACTCATAGGGGGCGCCACTTACCAGCATCAAAATCGATAATACTGAAATCATAGGGCCATTCAAGGAGGGGGAGTTTTACTCACTTACTCTCCCACTTTGGAAAGCTCGTAAGGATTTCAATCAAAAGTTTTCCCAAATCTGGATCTGACCTAAGGTTTGTCCATGGAGTTGCTTTGGCACCTCAACAGGGATATCTATCACTGGCTCAAATTCAGTTTCTAGCAAATCAGTTTCTAGAAGGGTTGGCACTCGCGCCACAGGTCCCTTTGCCATTCCTTCTAGAAACACTGATCTGCTAGGAACTTGCCTCCAGGGTATTTTGACCTTTTGAATACGTTTTTTACACCAGCTCGAAGTGAACATTCTTGGCCCCAGCCGCATGGGCGCTGGCAACGTAACGACACGTGGCGCCATGGTCAGGCACTTTTGAACGGATGTGATTCCGTTCAGGAGGTAATATTACCCCGCGAGGGGGTCAACTTATCCATTTTTCAGATGCCCTTTCGATAATTCATCCTTCACTTTGTCCTTTTTTTGAATGGGTGAAGCTTACTCGGTGACAAATTAGGTCCAATCTTCAGCGGCCGCAGTTTCAAATGAGCATCAGCGTGCGCGATTATGGGCGCACTAATTCAGTTAGAGCTGAAAGGAATGAGATGCTTTGGAGAAACGCAACGGAGCGCCTCATAATGACCGCCGTCTCGGGGAACTCACTGAAAGTCATTTTTCTGCTCCAAGGGAGTTCCAACTGACAAAAAACCCTTATAATTTTTTTGGGCAGAGGTGGTGTAGTGACAAGTGGCGCGCTTACCACTCGCGCGGCGCCGGGTTCGAATCCCGGGTCGACTGCCCAGGCCAACCAAGCCTTCTACCCTCCGGGGACGGTAAATTGGTACCAGATTCGTCTGGGAGGATAAAACACTGACTTGTACATCGGCTGGCCACCGCAAGTCATTGTATAGGCCACATCGCATTCAATAAGCCACTACGATTCTGAATGGAAGTAGAATGCGTGCCGCATCCCACAAAGGGATTGATCAACGGCGAAGACTTTATCCTTTTACTTTTTATTGATCTATTTTTATCGTGCTCTTCATGTGGAAAGAACCTGCCGCTGAAATTTGCAAAAAAAACTTCTTGCAGGCAATATGTAGTCTGAACCCTACAGATTTTTGCGAGCAAGAATTAGAGGCTATGGACTATTTCCCCTCAAATTTCCATGGCGTATGTAGTAGTACGGGGCTTCCCCGCGACACTCTTCAGATTTGTCCAAGAAGCGTCAGGATTTGACTGCAGAGCCTTGACTGCGTCAAGACGCCCCAGTCTCTTGGGTGTTTGCGAGTGTTCGAGTGACTGGTTTATCTTGTCCCTTTCTAGTGACTAATTCTGGACAGGGAACGTGGGGAGAGCTTGTGGTGGCAAAGACCTTCTTCGAATTGTAATTTATTGCATGGTTCATATCAGTATTGAATGGCATTTATAAAACTGCACCACGTTCCAGTAACCCATATAGGTATCAGGTTTTCACACATTTGTCCCAAACACCGAATCCAAGGTTTGCATTCTGTCATTTTATTCTTAGAAGCTGTTAAATATCTACAAGGACTACCTAGTAGTTGAACCGCGCGGCGCATCTCTTAGAAAGTGGAGCTTTTGTGCTCTCAAGAAGTCCTGAGGGATAAAGACTATGCCGTCTCGGGCTCGATAGTAGTGATGTTTCACTTCAGTAATGCAACTAAAACTGCTAACGAAAAGTAGAACATGGAATTTGAAGGTAAAGTCCACTTCTCCCATGGGCTGAGTCAAATCTTCCTTCGCCTTCCTTATTTGAATACCTCTCCTTTCCAGTATTGTCAATATGAGGGCTGCCGATGAAGGCGAATGAGGAACGCGCATCGCTATTCCTGAATTGCTCCCAGGATCAGCGGTGACTGTGCCGACAGGGTGCAGTACCGTGATATGTGAAATGCTGGTGTCTGCGAATAGTACGAGTCCCCTCTAAAGTTCCCATCTGCTATGACTCCCCCCTCCCCCTTCCGTATAGCAGCACGCCTTTCTAAATTTTCCCAAACACTGTATCCAAATTTTCAGAAAATTTTTCAGTTCTGAAAAAAATTTGTCGTCTAGCCATCAATGGTATATCTAGCTATCAGAACTATTAGAGATATTAGGAGTTTCCCCGCACCTACAGACGCGAAAAAATCGCGAAAAAATCACGAAAAAATCGCGAAAAAAACCGGCATGGAGTCCCCTTAGGGACGAGTTTTTTGCTCAAAAGGGCATAATGACGCCCTTCGAGCAAAAATACCAAAAACCTTGCTTTTCGGCAAAGGTGCCGAAAAGCAAAAACCGGCCCTTCGAAAAGTGCCAGTTGGGGACACGTTCTCAAAGAAAACTAGATACATAATAGTCGTGCCAGGCAGTGCGTGGCTCGTGCAGAGCGTCCCCAATTCATTGTATAGTCATAGTCCATGCAAATGAGGCGCGTGGCGGTTGTGGACTAGAGCGGTGCCAAGGCGGCTTTTTCCACCAATGATACCATCCTGAGTCCGCGCAGCGATTGGCGGGAGAGTTTTGTGTTGCCCAGTTGCCACCTAGAAAATGTCGTCATCCTACCCAAAAAAGTCCAATTAAATATTCGTATGGTGAGTAAATTCTCCTTCTGCATCTCTCCTTACAGGGGGTTTACCTACTGCACTTTGAACATCTTCTAAAAATTGTTTATTGACAGAGATCATAGAGCAAAAGCTTTTATAGATAAATGATTCTTGTTCAGTTGACGTACTCGTTGAAGAAGCGATCAGTGCTTGGCCAGCTCTCACCACGTTCGGCATCGCCGGCACCATCCGATTCCGTTAGCCAGACAAATTTCAACTGAATGACGAACAACAGCAGCCAGTACATACCGTCGGACGACTCATGTCACAGTCAGCCCACACGCCGAGATCTGCTTGAGTTATCACATCTTTTATACATTAATATATGTAAGTCTTAATGGCGCGATGATCGGTATCGTGCGTTTTTCTTCCTCGTTTTTTATTTCTTCCCAACGAAGTTTCCGGGCCACTTTCCACTTTAAGAACCCAGTTTACAGGATAGGACTACCATCTAAACTGAATATCTAGGTTTCCCCGCAAATCCGTGAATACTTCTGTCCCTGCATCGCACGACTTCAATGCTAAACTGCAGTAAACTGCTGGGACTGCAAGAGGACGGGTTCAAAACAGGGCACAACGTCGTGGGAAGAATCCTACCTGGGGTTGTAGTTGATCGGTGGGAGAGAGGCGCACCTGGTCTTGGAAGAAATTTTTTCCGGTCACTGTTTTTGTCCCGTTTCACGGGTGTTTATTTACACACTAGACGAAAAACTACAAAACTATCCTGCAGCTACCATTCTCGCTACTTCGTAGGGGGAAACCCCTATCCCCAGCCCGAGTCTTTTTTGTTTCTGCTCAAGAAAGTCACCTAATGTGAAACCTCACGACGAAGATAAACAGCTTTCATAAGTTTGGTGTCTTCGCAGTCGCTTATATTGCAATTGTCCGACGACATTCCACAAAGCACATTCCACGCTTGTTATTCGGGCGGAAACAGCCCATCACTGTGTTTCACTTACTCACTCATTGGTGCACCTCCTGTTACAAGAATGTGAAACGAAGAGGCATGTGACGAGAAAGGAACTATGGTTAACCTGGATCTGTACCATTTAGTGTCCGTTCGTTTCCTTGAAGCGTTACCTTCATTCCGAAGGAAATCAAATGGTGCTTGAGCGAGTTGTCTTGAAGCACCTCCTCTGAATTGATTTGTGCCACTCCATGATGCCCCAGCGGGCTGAAAAGGACAACTGCCAGGCTGGACGGGCTGGAGGAAACGCTAGGAGTACGCTAAGAGTGGGGTGGGGGTGGGCATTTTGCACTCATAGACACTAGAGCGTGTGGGTCCCTCTAGAGAGCCTTTTCTTGAGTTGACAGGTTTTACCATGGTGGCTCTACGAGCTTGCTCCAGCTTCACAAGAGTTCACAGGTTTCACCAGAGTGAGACTTGTGAACCGGAACTAGTGAAGCAGCGAAAGTGCAAAATGCCACCCCGCGTTGCCGAACTGCGTCCTAAGAGCTTTGCAAGCATCGCTTACATTTTTGAGTCGGAAGCGGAACATGAGTGAAAGACACCTACTTCCTTTTACATCAGTTCCCTCTCTCCACATTCATATGCCCCAGAGAAAAGTATGTGAGCAGACTTGAGTTCACCAGAAATTGATGGCTGTGACGAATATGAGGGAAGCTGAATCGGAATAGCAGCGCATGAGAATCTGGGCAGTTATAATCCAATATCGTTTATTAGTTTTCGCTGAGAAGAGTCCTTTGGCTGCCGGAAAATAAATGCGTCATCGTTCTCGCCCACAGTCCAGGCGGTTAACCAACGTTTCGTTTCCAGTTGAGAAGCTTGCAGTTTGTTACCAATTCATTGACTCATCCTCCTTATTTGTGATCAGTGTGCCAAAAACATTTCGATCCTTGGGTGATCAGAGTTTGGTAAGTCGGCAGTTTATCGTAAACAGTCGAGTGCTCTGAAGGTCCGGGATGGCCCATTCGTTACCGCCTTACTCGCTCTTCAAATAGCATTCACTACGTACGCTCGAGCACACTAAGTAACTACATACCACCACTCGTGCGACGTTTCTGATGTGAAATAGAATCGCTATTCTTAAATAAATTGGGAGATAAGGGCTTGTTCGTCTACAGAAGGGACCTCTCCGTTGGTACACAGTTTGAGAAAGCAAAAGATCAAAAACGTCAGGCCGCGGATGATTAGGCATCAGACTTACCGCTTTCGCGTGTCCACTGTCGAAGATCCAGGAATTTGGACTGCGAATTTTTCCGCACCTAAAGTTTGGCTAGAATTCGTCTAAGCTGTTCCGGCACGATAAATCCCAGAGGCGAGAGATTAATACGCCTGGCCAGGACGGAATTCGCGGCCCGCTGACCAGGGACGCGCGTAGCGCCCTTTTTGAAAGAAGGTACCCTTTTAAGGCTGTATCGAGCTGCAACATCAACAACCCAACTTGGAGGCCCATCGCGCCCGTCCGCCCACAAATGGACCTGATGCTCTATCCCTTCATGCGAAGTAAAATATGAAGCGAAGGGGCTGGTATGAAACTCATTATGATCACGGTGTAACCGTACCTACCGGTACGGTTGCACCGTGATCCATGCAGCACCGCGGCCGTTTCACCTAGCGGTTATTGGCCCGATGCCTTCGGGAAACTCGTCCGAAATCGCCTTCTGAGTCATGAAGAACGAAGGTTTTCTTCGCAGGTTTTTGACCGTTTCACTTCGTTTTTTCGCCATTTTCTCACTATATAGCACCCTGTAAGCATTTTAGACCGAGTACCAAATTATCGTGCCATATGCCTTGAAGCGAGTTCGACTTTCTGAACAATCGCTACGTCTGCTTGCATATGAACCGCTTGACGCTGGCGCCAAAAGACGGGCAAACCGAAATATGCCGAGAAACCGTTCCCTCAGGGGTAGCCTTGCCGTCCCTCCCCTGGCGAACACGATCACCACATTTGCTTCGCACAAAAAACGTTTAGCACGTGCGCTACGGGCGCCGAGCAGTAATTTTTCCGCCACGCTGGAGGTTTCTGCCAGATTCGTTGGAAAATTATTCTAATACGAAACATGGTCTGAAGTTCAACAGATTAGCGTGACGTAACTCGTGGTATTTTTTGCGGTCATTTTTGTGGGGCAGGTTTTCGCCCCTTTTTTTCGATTACTTAGGTTTTTGAGTGCTTGAAATTCTATATATAGAAAACCGACCTGTACTCAGAAAATTTCCCCGAAGTTCGTTGTTTAATGGAAAGCCCAAATTAGAATGCCTAGCATAAGGACGAAGTGGCCCTTAATTGCAGCTGCAAGTTTCTTCGCACTAATGTCTCTCCAACTTGAATTCGAAGTTTTCGAAAAAAAAGTGCATTCCAGCCATCTTCCGTCGATGAACAGTAAATTTCGTCTTCCTGGAATTTCCTCACATTTCACTAGTGTGGCAGATACTGACCTTAGAAGAAGAAATGTTTTTGGCCCATGGCGCAGTCCGGCGACGGGGGGGGCATTCTGCTTTTTGCCACTTCCCATCGACGTGTCGAGCCATCGAGAGAGCCTTACGAGAGTTGACAGGTTTTATCATGGTGGCTGGACGAGCTTGCTCAGCTAAGCACGAATTCACAGGTTTTACCAGAGTGAGACTTGTAAACCGGAACTAGGCTGCTAAAGTGCAAAATACCACCGCCTCCCCCCCCCACGTCGCCTTGGCCCAAAAATCCGGTGCGCGGACTGGAGACATCTCCTTGCTAGCCTGCAGGATCGACTCTCAGCTCACAACTCGAGCATTCATGAGGTCTATGAATGGTTAGCCTAACAAGTGTTCGCACTTTGTGTGCAGCAGGAAGGGATGGATCTTTTGCCATCGACACTCAAGGCACGTCACTGAGACCCCTCCCTCCCAAAAGGAGGATCGTATTCGGTCGCTCGGGAAGCGACCCGGGGAAGCGGAGGGGGGGTAAATGTGCGCAATGTATCCCCCACACTGGCGGCGCTGCGGAAACTACAATTTTTGATAGTTGATTAGAGATGTCTACTGCACCCTCTCCCTCCCACCCTTCTCTCGCATAGTTTTGGGAAGAGGTCACGGTGACGAGCGCAATTTTTGTTTTGGAGGCGGGGGGATTCATTCGGATGTTGCGTCCCGCACCACGACAGTGTTCTGTCGATAAGCGCTGCACGCGCCGGTATTATGTCCCGTCGCCTATTGACCTCTTAGCCTGGGCGATACTTCAACTGCACTCATTTCACCAACTTTTTGGCCGGGCGTTGTTTAACCACCATACCCATCAAAATTTAACTTCGATTTCTGTCAAAATATTTTCGATTTTCGCTAGATGTACAAGGCAGAGTGTACATCACAAAATCAGGCATGTCTGTTTGACAAACACATAATCGCTCTCTGGGATGTGAAGCTTGCCGCGGATAGAATCGGTTACGGATTTAATCCCCAAACAGGGCTGACCATTTGCCACCACGTACTACATTTACCTGCCCCTCTCCCCTCCCTCCGCCCCCCGCCCGTTCATCACAATGTCCCATAGACAGTACTTTGCACGACTCTGCACTGATTTTTATCAAAAATTGCCGCATTATTCTGCAATCGGCATTAAAAACGTCTGCTATCCTGGCTTCATGAGTTTCGCAAGCGAGACCTCCCATCTCACTGTGGTACCACACACCCGTCAAAATGCAAATGAATGCTCGTATTTCATGAGAAAAACCAATCATTCCCTATCCTTTGATTCTTATAGAGAGAATTCTCTTGCTTCGACGAGCCATGTGCTTGCTTTCAGTTCCATGCACTCTACCTGCCCAACGACCTCAATCACCGATTTCCTTTCTCTCACACAGCCAATTAGAGCTGTTTCCGTGTTATCGAATTTCGATATTTGATGAACTTAACTAGAAATCTCAAGATCGATTTAGTGCCTGACTGTCGTGACTTGAACAGCACTATCAAAGGTCTTGTGTAAGACCAGAGGTAGAAAAGTGCCTCCAGTCGCTGTATCACACGAGCAAAAACCATAAGATTAACTGACTTCCGGATTAGGCCAGTTCTTTTCGTCATCTGTCACTGGATCAGTGCTTGTGAAGGATTATTCCACGATTATCGAATGGCGGTAACGGAGAGAGACTACGCCTTCCTCAATGGTGCTTCCTTATTTCGGAGGTACAGAATAGGAGCGCACCAGTAGGGCTTTCCATGTCCTCCCCATGGGATCATGCGGAATGCCTCTTCGGGTCTCACCGAGCTTCTGGGAACGTTGACCTGGTATCGTTCAGCAGCTGCTGTCTTTGGACGAACCCATGATGCACCTCCGCGATTTTGGGTGAGAAACGTAATGCATTGCTCATCCCAGGATAGGGATTGGATTGAGTGTCTGATCTACTCGACCTTACTTTCATAGATACTTATAGGTTCTGCAATTACTGGTACTATCCTCCGAGTTAAGATAAGAACGAAGGAAGTCCGTTGCTCTCAGATCAAAGCCCGTATCAAATCAGGCCCATGTCACCCACATCGTCAATCCCGCCGAGGTCTTGCGTTAGCATCGGATTCGCACGGGAGGATGGCTATTAATAGCTGCTGTCACGTTCCCTTCGAACTGAATAGGGAGGGGCAAGAAGTGGAGCGCAACCAGGGCGGTCTTTCCTGCCAGTTGTTGTAGACTCAGGATGATATCATTGGTGGAATAGGCCCGGTTGGCTGCGCTTCAATCCCCAACCCGTTCCACCCTTATCGCTTGCACGGATCGCGACTGCACATCGGCCCTCATTTAAAGACAGCTCCCGCGATAAAAGTGTCATGGATAGTTGCTTTTCAATTACAGTAGCTGATAAGTAATTCTCCAAAGAAGAGAAAAAGCAAGAAGAGTTCTCAAGAACACCATAAACAAGATCGCTCCCTGTCAGTCACACAGCCCTGCGGTCATTGTGCAACCCCTGGCTCACAAATCCCTTTTTCACATCTCCCAGTAATGGATATCATCCAATGCAAAAAAGAATACGGAAAACAACAAAAACACGGAAGAAAAACTCTTGAAAAGGAAAATAAACTTTCAAAAACTCGGCGTCCGAATTAAGGGTTACGGTAGCGTGCATCTTTTAGTGTGTTTAGTGCGTCGAGCTTTTGCACCACGAAAATTGGGTCGCTCGATTTTACGCGTTTTACCTTGCGAGATGGGATGAAGTTGACTGTATGTGCTGCTAATGAATAAAATGTAAAGGAAAGCAGAATTATTCATGGGCACGAGCGTGGTCAGCGAAAAGGACATGAACGCCGATTAATGCCCGTCGCCCAACAAAGAACAACTGAGCGGCCGCTCGTGTCGGAGGCATCTAGCAAAGTGAGATGGTCCAACTGATGGTGAGCGGTTGTCGTTAGAACTAGAACTTTGAGGGAATGTAGCTGCTCCTCGCCTCGTATGTGAAAGTCGCGAGAGTAGGGAGGACGTTTCTAGCTTGGGGGCTGCTAACTACTGCATAAGGAAGAGAGACATGTAGTACTTGATGCGCGGGGGCTGTCTTTAGGGCTAAATACCACTCAAAAAAGTCACTGTAATTACGAAAGGATTTTCGAGGGCCGGATCGCGCGCGTAGACCAAGGTGCAGAGCGCCGCGCTTCCTTTCTACTTCGCCTTCAGCGAATGACTTACTACTGAGAGACCACGCGGTTAATCGGGGCAGAACCAACACAGCGCCTTTTTGCACTTTTCATCAGCGCTTATCTTGTGAAAACTTTTTCTGAGCGCTAAAAATAGGCCCTCCTTATCGGCCCACCTATTGATTGTTCCATAGCCCCCAAATCGATCAGTTGGGGCCAGCTATGTTCCCAAAATTTATCTGCTCATGTTTGAAGGCTCGCACCGTTTCAACCGTCTCCCGACCGATGCTACAGTCGTCACAGGACATCTCCGACAATGACTACGAAGATGATGTACCAACACAATTAGTGAACGATGAACCCACACTTAGCAAAGAGGAACAAGAACGGATACGGTAGGTGTAGAGCTTTACGAGAGATTTCCTCAAAAGTACCTTGTCTTGTATCTGCTGTCGTGTTTTCATACTTCATCATTTTTTTGATTTTATTTTTTCTCTTTCTTAATATTGGTTTCGAAGGAGCGTTGTATTACATTTCAGAATCAAAGGCAGTGGGCACGTTTGCTCGGGTGCAGCGCGTTACCGCTAACGTCATTGGTGGAAGGACGTTTGGCCACCCCCATTAGCCCTTCCACCAATGACGTTGGCAGTAAACACTCGCTCTAGCGATCGTGCCCACTTCCTTCAAAAGCTTGTCCCCAGCCTGGAAAGGCGTGACCAACCGTCTGGATGATGACACGTAAATTCAACCTCTTCTGCTGGTACCACACCTCTATTTTACCTCTATTTTACTTCTTCCTTTTTCCACTATGAACAGCAGGTTTAAATCGGGTTTGCATAAGGAATTAATTGCCTGAAAATAATTTGTTGTTTCATTTTTGACCCGCCCTGCATTACTAGTTCCTGAAAAACTACGTCGGGCTTGAGGTTTAGCAGGGTATCATTCAGGAACTCAGCACGTGCACTCATGCATTGTTTCTTCTACCAATCTTTGCTAGAGTATTTTTAGTATTATATGCTGCCAAGCGGCGCAGTTTGTCGACGGAGGGGGGCATTCGGCTTTTCATGATGTGCCGACCACTTAGGTACCTTTTCTCTCGAGTTAGACAACGTTTTTAGGGGATGGTGGGCTAGACGATCTTACTCCAGTTTCAAAGTGCTTCACAAGTTATTATCATGGCTGAGATTCGTAAACCGTGAACAAAATGTTGATCATTAAAATTGCCCCCCCATCCCGTCGCTAAACATCGCCGTGCCAAGCTAACGACAAAGGGGTTGCATAAGGACCATGCATCGAGTACCGGACCTCTCAGGTGAGTCATGGTGTGTCCACATCTCAGCGTAACCACGGCTTGTGAAGCTACTGAACGAAGAACCTGCTTCTACCGTCAATCTAAAAACAATGCCGCTGCGAGATGTGACGGAGATCTTCAAAGGTTGAGCGTTTTTCTGCCGCCAAAGTGCCCGTAAACTGCAAGGTCGTCCCTCTGCAAAAAATTGGTCACACCGTCGCTTTTGAAGCTGGGCGGCTCTCTGTCAGACTTCTCATTAAAGGCAATAGGCACGGCGTGTAGGATAAGTACGCCTAGCAAGACAGCATTCAGGCGCCTGAGTAGCGCTTACGTGGCCTCCCTTACCCAGCGGTCCTTATAGCGCCCCATCATGCTGCACCATACCGACCCGGACACTTACCGCGCCTGCCCGCCCACTAATGTCCTATGTGCTGATGCTCGTATCGCTTCATTTGCGAAGTACTTTATGAGGCGAAGGGATTGATATGAAGCGGCTCCGATGCTGCATGGATGCATTAGGACCTATATGCAGCACATCTGCCAAACCGTCAGCGGTTGTTGGCCACGATGCAACAGGGAACTCGTCCGAAATGCCTTTTAAAATGGCTGCCGGTTAGAAACGAAGGCTTTATTGCAGATTTTTGCCCGTTTAATTCGTCTCGCCATTTATAGAAACTTCATTTGTGACTTATGCCTTTTAAGTCGAACCGCTACAGGCTTTGATCACCTGGGTAATGCGCAGTGCCGGGAAAAGGGCTTTCAGTAATTCTTAGTCTGAAGAACGCCCTCGAACTCGTTTGTGCTCAGGAACGACATTCCGAAGAATTTACTTTTTACATCATTGAACAAATTCTATGGGTGTTCTCTACAATTGCTACATAGCATTTTTATTTGATATTATGTTACCTTTACAAGCCTATGAGCTTTTAAAATGCAGCGGTCAAAGTCGTTTAGTTGCCGTTTAATTCAGGGCGGAACGTGAGGAGGAAGAGCACAAGAAGAACCTGCAAATGTACGTATTTGTGGCGCGATGTGTAGCCTACCACTTCAATGCTAAACAACCCACGGACATGGCTCGACGTCAAGTAAAAGTCACCAAGCAAGACTTGGCCCGCATCAAAGAGAGGTACCGACTTCAAACTTCGAACCGTCCGCTTTTCATCTATATTCACCTTTCTGTAACGTTTTTTAAGCGCAGTACCTTATTTGTGTGATCGGGAGAATCGGCTGCTTGGGAGAATCGGGATTAGTTATTAGTTTAGGGTATTATAGATTTGTATTATCGGCGCATAGAACGCCGAACTCTCGAAAAACGTCGATCACCCGAAACGCCGATTCTCCGAGTCGCAAAGTATGAACGCAGCCAAGCTCTGATTGTTTTCGAGAAACATTAATTATCTTCTCTTATAATCACATAGTACCCCTAAACTTTACGGAGGCTACTGTTGCCCACAGTTCGACTATCTGGCTCATTTTCGTTCTCGGACCACCAGATGAATATCAAATTTATGCACTCCTGCTCTTCACCATCTTTTTTTCAGGTTTCAAGCCTTTCTCAAGGGCGAGACGAACATCCCCACGGACGAGGCGTTCGCGAAAGCAATGCATAGCTACGCCGAGGTTTGTGGTGGTCTTAAATCACTCACAACAAGAGCCGTTTAGTGGAAGTATCAATGTAGTAACCAAGGAGTGGGGAGGAGGGGGCGGGGAGCGCAGTGATTGTTTCCCATCAAGTGAATGAAAAAGGAGTTGCCCCGAGTATAAGCCATTTTGTTCATAACGAAGGCAAAAAATTGGATGGTTATATTTTTTTGTTTTAGCGTCTGGGGGGGGCATTAGTCTGAAAGAGACCATAGCGAGCAGTACTACAGACACCAATGTGAGGGCAGAGTTAATTGCGCTCAGGCGGGGCCACTCAAAAAATTTCTCGTCCTAGCCTCCCTGTAAAATGTTTAGATACCAACCGAAAACACGAAGGAATTCATTCGGTCTACACTTATTTTCCCCTCAAAAGCTTCATCACGTGGTGACCTCTAGTGAGGAAAAAGTCTTTACAGCCCTGCAACACCGTAGTGTGCTGGTGAACTCCAGACATGCGCCCCTTTCTGATCAGATTATGGCGCAAAAAATTCTCCAAACCATTCCTTTCAGATCTTTCTCAAGTCGGAACGGGTTCAAAAAGTGGTTGCTGCTGGTGGATTCTCCATGCATGACTTCCGAGAGGTATGTCCTTGATACGTTTACGACCTCTAATTTCTGATTTTAAATAGCTCCTATCCGTTCATTGCCTGCTTCCGCTCAGTTTGCTATTTTTATTGTTTTAAGGTTTTCCGATGTAACGTCGAAAAGCGAATTCGTTCTCTGCCGGACATTGAAGGTCTTTCCAAGGATACGGTGTTGAATTCTTGGTTGGCCAAGTTCGACACCATCACCAAAGGAGATGAAGAAACGCAAGGACGTACTGCAAGGTCGGTACATTTTCAAAAAATCCCGCGCCCTACTTATGACCCTCACCCATGGGTAATCGATTCGAACACTGAGACCCGCGCAACTCTCCCCCTGCTCAGACAGCTCGATGAGAAGGAACCAGGCGTGGGTCGTACCAACCCCCTGAAATGAAGTGGTCGTACCGATTTGATCAAAATCTCCAACAATCATGTGCGGTGCGAAAAGCGCTGCTCTGTGGCACGCTCCAGTCACCCCGTCACACGCCCTGTTCTTGGCAGAACCATGAGAAGCGCGGTCTGTACAGCATGAGCTTAAAGGATGAAACGAATAAAGTCTTCGAAAGGCTGATCGAATCCCTTTGTGGGACGCGGCACGCATTTTACTTCCACTCAAAATCGTAGTGACTTATTGAATGCGATGTGGATCTCGTAGCAACCCGTACCTTCCCCGTGGTAAGAGAGCCTGGTTGGCATGGGCAGGAGTCGACCGGGATTTCAACCCAGGACCATGCGAGTAGTAAGCGCGCCACTCGTTACTGTACTACTGCATGACGTTTTGAAAAATTAGTACTAGTGAACACATAAATCCAGCTTTTGGTCGTAGTTCCGCGCAAGTCGTACAAGGTTATTCACGCCTTAGTGCCCCTCGTTATCTTCTGGAAGCAGGGATAAGCTAGAGAGTGGTTCACCAGATTCCGCTCCATACGATAAGTATGGACTGTGCCTGCAACTTTGTTCTTTGCGCATGTTGGGGCATGTAAGTGAGGATGGGTTTGGCGTGTGCCAGCTCGTTCTCCACCAGCTGTTGAAGCGGACAGGCGACAAAAATTGGCGGAAAACGACTGATGCGAATATATGATGCAGTTTTGCCGCTCGCTCGCTTCAATGACTGGTGAAGAACGGACTTGGCGCCGCTCCAGACCGTTCCCTCCTGACCCGCCCCATTATTCGCAGCTAAAAAGGGCTGCAGGGCTGAATTAAGTTCATACATTCGTAGTTCAGGCGGAGGTCAAGGGGTACATATGCGAGCCCCTAAAAGCGAAAATTTCACTTACTTAGTTTTACTTTTATTCTTCATGTAGCCCAAAGTGCACTTGCAGTAACCCACCCTTCGGTCCAGCGAACTTTTTGAGAAAAAGGTCTAATATGAGCATTTTCAGGGGACGGGCTCGAAATGCTCCTGCCCAGCCGAATGCTGACGTTATCCTCGGCAAGGAACAACTTTACGATATGTTTCAACAAGTGCTCGGTGTGAAAAAATTTGAACATCAAATCATTTTCAACGCCTTACAGGTCAGTACCTATTATTTTGTGCTCTCTATTATCATACTGTGTATCCTCTCCATTTTTCTCATTTTTTTCTTCCGCCATTTCCTCTACTATAGGACCTGTGTATAAAATAAGAGATAAGTGCATTTATAAAAAATTGCAGCTCGACAACCCTGATGAACAAGCGGCGGCGATACGACGTGAGGTCGCGACGAGAGAAGATGCCTGTCGAGAGATTCACAAGGTATGAGCTTTACGCTACCTCCCTGTTAGCGCCGTCATGATAGCGGCTACAGCGCGCGTCATGCGTTTTCGCGCGTTACCTTAAATACAGTAACACTCCTTTTCCTGGGTACATATAAGGGCGCCTCCGACGGTGTAACCCTACTTTCTGCGGATAGGAATGCAGGGCGGACCTAGTGTAGGGGCGCACCTTCTAATTCGAACGAAACCCCTCTCTTTCGAAACCCAGAACTAACCTAAGACCAGCTGTTGAAAGGGTTAGATAGCAAAAGAGTGACGAGGGGCTGTAGCAATATTACGCTACGTTGCGTTAGCTTGCGGATTCGCCACTGCGCAAATGCCACGTTCAAAAATGCGTCATGGAAAGGTATCAAGCAAATTTCGGTCTGGCAGGCTTCCTGGTTCTGAACGCTCATGGGGAGGCGTTCTTTGGGCCAGGCGCACATCTTTTACGCGAAACCATGGGATTGCATTAAAAGACCACATGGTGCGACTCAAAACATTCGAAGGGGTGATGACTAAGGCAGCCCCCCAGCTGTCGGATTTGTCGTGGTTTTCCCGCCTGAAACTGCACGGGGGTCCGAGTACGGGACCGTGGGAAAGGCTTATTCCTTGCTACACCGCCCAAAATGCAACTTGCGCGCGGCGAAATGCAACTTGCGCGCGGTGAATTTTGGGCGGTGTAGCAAGGAATAAGCCTTTCCCACGGTCGGCCCGTTACTAGGGACCCCGGCAGGTTTCGGGCTGGCGAACCACGGACACATCGACAGGCTGGCGGGGTTTTGTTAGTCCATACACCCCTTAATGGTGTTTGGGACCGTACCATTGTGTCTTTTAAGCTTCAAGAAGGTTTTTTCTGGAATATTTTCGTTTCGCGGCTCACAATATGTCCTCCTCCTAGATTAGATGCAGTTGCCATCAAATAGCGATAACCCCGCATGATTTTTGGTATTCATCCGGGGGTCTCTATCCTTCAAGAGACAGGCAAGAGAATCGTAAATTGCCGCTTCGTCGCGCGCGGCAATAGGCGCGACGTCTCCTTAATTTGCACCACCTTTTGATTGCGGGCCATCGAATTTCATGAAGACGGAGGGACATGGTGAGACGCTCTATATCCTATTTTGGGTGTCGATACATGTCTTCTCGACCATAAGCATCCTAAATATCGTCGTCCGATTAGCGGGCTCGCGGACATCGCACGCGATGGCCGCTTGCGGTCTGCGAGATCGACGATCCTTTTGCCACAGTATCCAGGAAGCTGCTTTGCGCGCAGTCCCTTGTCAACTTCCACCAATTTTAGGCGCGAGCGCGCTCGTCATGTTTAAGCGCAGTCTCCTTTGACAAGCTATCCGGTATCCACACCGAACAAGAGTGAAGAGGCATGTAAGCGGTGAAATGTAGTCGTACCAAGCAGGAATCGGGGAGGGGACCGTATTCAGCTAAAATTTTCAAAATTGAAGGAGTGATGTGCCCTATTGCCTCAGAGGTCTATTATCCGCTATAACAAGGTCAAATTCACTACAGGGGCGAATTTCTAGAGAGTCAAGGTCTTGACCCATGCTTTGAAAAGTAATGGGTAGGGGAGCAGGGAACCAGTTGTGGTCGCCTGCCAGCTCCCATATTTGTTGGAAAGGCGGCTGAAGCTATTCTAGAGCCGGTCTCCCTATACGTCCCATCATCCGCAGCGAACAACATTTTATATTGTATTATATATTTTAAACTCCATTTCCCATTCAGCATGATTTTTCACACCTCTTGTTGGCTATTTTTGATCTTTTAATCAGTATTTCCTGTTCTTTGCTTGATGCTAATTAGTATTAAATTTTGCAGTTCTTAATAAGCGCTTTTGTAGCGGGAAAATTTTTTTTAACATATCCAAATACACTCTTGTTCGCTGCCGGTGCTGGGCGTGTCAGGAACCTAGGTTTGCGCTGCGCCACCCCGTATTACGCCAATTGTTGTCGCTTGCCCTTTTCAACAGGTGGTGGAGAATGGGCTGACATCGCCAAGCCCAACCCCCTGACACGCCCCATCATCCCAACGAACAAGATTGTAAAACTTAGATATTATTAGAGCTATATTTATTTTTACTGATGTTCATATTATATTTGTAATGTTTATTTTTATTCAGCTATAGAAATATTTAGATGCGGAAGATCATGCCGAAATTCGTCGTCAAAGATATGGAGACGTTGTTCATGGACGAGGTCCGGCAATCAATCAATTTATTGATTTCCAATTTGGAATCGGTTCCGGTGACACCGCGTGGGCAAGCTGTCGGAAAACGGAAAGACAAGTCACGGTAGGCAGTTTTTCTACCAGTTGTTTTTTTGAATTTTAAATCATTAACTACATGAGGCAGCTTTTTAGATAGTTCCTCCATCGCTTTCAAGTAGGCGCCAAGGTAATTTGAGGGGGGAGGCTTCATAGCTCTGGTCGTCTGCGCCCTCCCACCGAGACAGCGATCCTATTCCAAGAAGTTCAACCATAGATAACGCAGATGAGGTGAAAAAGTGCAGCTCAAGCCCGTCCACTGTCTCCCACTCCCCTCGCTACCTTGGCGTCACATCACACCTACTTGCTCATTGGTGTATGTCTAAATGTCAATTTCATTTAAAAACCGTACCTAATGTCACAGCCATCATCTCACTTAATAGCCTAGAATTCTAGCGTCGTTCACATGCTTCAATCTCAGAGCTAATATTGCCCAACAAATCGTGATTTTTTGTTATTTAATCAGGGTTCTCAGTTCGATTTTTTTTATTTGCTTAGATTCACCATAATTTTCGTTAAATAATCCTGTGTTATACGATAGCTTCATATGTTTCAGCAGCACTACCAAATCGAAACGGTAGGTTAGTGCAGGGCAACCTGCCGCCGATTTGCTACTCACTTCTCTGTCGTTTTGGTTGTCGCCGTTCCACTTATTCAAATTTTATTTCGATTTTCTCTATCCATTTTCAAGCTCGTTTCATGGCAGTCAAAAAAATGAGTTCGGTTTTTTTTTGTGCAACTAAAATCGCCATGGGAGGAACTGGCCAGCCACTCCTGCTTCAATCCTTTTATCCACTCTTTGGCACTCTTTTTCGGTTTCTGCACGTCGTCCGACGAACTTGTCTGATTTACGCACTTTTACACCAGCACATGACACCCAGTACACATGAATGTCGCTGACGAGTCTACCGTACTCGAATGCGAGGCAAGACAAATCACCCGTATTTTTTTCAAAATTATTTTGCATTTTAGATCGCGAAGCATAGAAGATCTCTCACTGTTCAACAGGTTTGCTTAAATAGACTTTTGTTTTGTGATTATGCATAATGACGGAACACAAGAAGGACTTCGCAGTCCAAGGAGTCGCTTTTACCGTATTCTGCGCGCTTAGTTTAGTTCTTCAAGCTTGAGGTACTTTTAATTCTACTATATATTCCCTTCGATGCCACTGCCCGAGTGATGTACATTTCACCACACTGACTCCTCCTTTGCTGTTTGCACTCTTCATGCGCGCGCCGTAAGCCTGGCGGGGGGGGGTGTTCTTGCAACGACCTGGGTTACGGTGGCAGTGATTCACGGACTGCGAAGTCTCTCACTGACGGAACGAGCGTGATGCTTGCTTTTTATCACTGCTTGGCTTTTGTTTTCTTTTTTTGTACATAAGCTGGCTGATAATTCAAGCTTGGTTGCCGTGTTATCGAGAGTTCCTGTCTTCAACAAGTATTCAAGAAAATGACACCCCCCCTCGTATGCAAGTGTAATCAGGGTGCAACATCGTTGCGTGGGGGGATCGTATGTGCGTTGGAGAGAAATTTGCTGCGAACCTCCCGGTTGTTGACTTTTCGATTCGCCTATTTCATCTCTATGTGTACTACATACTCCCCGCCTCCTCCCCACCGCTCGACGGAAAATGAATTTTTGGGTGGAAAAATTAGATATGGGAAACTGGTAGGTAGGTGTTGGGGAAGGAAGGGGTCGAACTGAGACCTCATTCAGAGGGGGGTCTCGTACTCCCCTCCGGGAGGGTCGTGCCTACAGTACCTATTCACCGTCACAATGCAGTACCCTGACATGATGTATACAGGGGGGCCAAAAAAAAAGTCATTCCGGCCGAGTCACATATGAGCGAAGTTTTCGCAGCCCAGACAGAGGAAGTGGATATGAGTACCAGGGCGGAAGATACCCAAGATCTTCCTCTATAAGCAGGAGCCGGCTGCCGCCATTCACCTTCATGTACACCAAAATATGAAGTCATCTCCAGTCGCGGCCTGAGTGGAGAACGCCTTTGGAATTCACGTGGCCTCCAAACAGCTGCGGAACTTCTTGAATGGAATCACCCATGGATAGCTACCTGGAGACCAGTACTCTTGATCTGCAAGACCTCAAACATCGAGCAGCTCCGGCAACGTCGCTACGGTCCAGGACATCATCTTCACCCCATTCACCAAGGCGCGGGTTGATGGTGTGGACCGGCCGTACCTGGAATGGATGAACCGATATTTTCTTTGTAGACCCCGACTGAAGGTGAGCGCTGGCGGTTACATCAAGTAACTCGAGAAGGATATCCTCCCTACATGTGGTCGCCCGTACCTTCTTGGAGACCTTGTGCTGCTACAGGTTTGGGTGCCACCACATGGAATCGAAGGGTTTTGGAAAAACTCCCGCCTACTTCGAATGGAAGGGCGTTTCGTACCTGATGAAGATGTAATATTGAAATATGTCCCCTGACCTGAACCCACTCAATTACCTAGTTCGGGCGGAGCTCAACAGGGTGGTCTACAGTGGCGGAGAAATCAACGATCTCGCTCAACTCCGGTACCCACTCACTTTCGCGCGGCCGAATCTCTCGATGGCGCTCCTCCAGAAGGCTGTGGCGGAGTATCATTATAGTATTTAATGTGCTCTTTAATATGGTAGTAAAAATGTCCGATAAAAATTTAATAAAGTGTAACTTATAGCGCCTTGAAAGTCATGGAGGCAAAATGACTTTTTTTTGGCCCCCCCTGTATAGCC